TATTGAATTTCTAGAGCGTGTTTTAGAGCACTGTTCATACGTTGGTCTACCTATAATAATTAGTGGAGACCTGAATATAAACTTTCTCTCTGTGGAGTCACCTGCACAGATGCTACTTGATGTTTTTCTTTGTTTTGGCTGTCAAAATGTCATTGATGTACCTACAAGAATAGCGAGCAAATCTGAAACTTTGCTAGACGTTTGTTTTACAAATTATGAAATTGGTCAATCTGATGCCGGAGTGTTAATATCAGACATAAGTGATCATTTGCCCTTCTTCATCTTTTTTACGCCTCACATGGCTCAACACAACCAACGCAAACAGCCACCTATTCTTTTAAGAAAAATATCTGCAGAAAGGGTTAATTATTTCAAACATTTGGTTGAAGGAACTAGCTGGGAGCCTGTCTTGCAGATAACTGATCCTACCGTCTCCTATGACTTATTTATTAGAACATTAAAAGAACTCTATTACACTGTATTTCCCTTAGAACAGCTTAAAAAACATAAAAAATCGAGAAAACCATGGATTGATGCCTCTTTACTGAAGAGAATAAAGACCCGTGATAAACTATTTGCATTGTTTATAAAAACAAAGAACCTTGATCAGTTAGCTGAATACAAAAAAATGAGAAATAAATTAGCAGCTGATATTAAACAAGCACGTAACTTGTATTACGAGGCTAAGTTTACTAGCATTGCTAACGATTCCAGGAAAGTGTGGAATTGCGTTAATGAACTACGAAATAAAAACGAAAGAGACGTAATATCGGAAATATTGATTGAGGGCGTATCATATACGGGTAGTTCGCTGGCAAACAAGTTTAATGAGCATTTTTTAAAGGCAGGTGTTTGCACGTCTTCACCGACAAATGATATCAGCTGCACTTCTTACATGAACAGCTCAGATTCAACAATTTATATGTATCCTACTACACCGGAAGAAATATGCGGCTTGTTAAAAAAGTTAAAAAGCAACAGTGCCTGTGGTGTAGATGAATTGAAGGCAGTTCCTCTTAAAGTAGTCGCTCATGCTATCTGTTTACCTCTATCGCACATATGCAATCTTATTCTAAGCTCTGGAACGTTTCCCAACGAACTGAAGATTGCAAAGGTATCAGTTATTTTTAAAGGAGGAGATAAAAACGATCTCGGTAACTATAGGCCAATCTCTGTTTTACCTATGTTTTCCAAGGTTATTGAAGAAGCTATAAACTTCAGGCTTACTAATTTTTTCAGCAAAAAAACATTATCGTAAAAATCAATATGGTTTCCAAAAGAAAAAATCCACAGAAATGGCATTACTCGATATTAAAGATAAAATAGTTTACAACATAGAAAAAAAACTATTCACGGTAGGGCTTTTCCTTGACTTTAAAAAAGCATTTGATTCCGTTAAGCATGATGTTTTACTGCTCAAACTATCCAGATACGGTGTCAGAGGTATAGCTCTAGACATTGTAAAAAGTTACCTAGAAAACCGTGTGCAATACACCAATATTGGTAATGCGAAATCTGAATTCGGTAAAATTACATGCGGCGTGCCACAAGGGTCAATCCTTGGCCCACTCTTGTTTATTATGTACATAAATGATATAGTTAACATACCTCTTACACCTGACATTATTTTGTACGCCGATGACACGAATGTATTCTTCTCTGGGCCAGATATTGACGACCTTATGTTGAAAGCGAATATTTGGCTACAAAACTTATCTACATGGCTTAGGGCCAACAGGTTAAATCTAAATGCTAAAAAAACAAAATTTGTTGTTTTTAGACCTCGTAACAAAACATACATTAGTAAGAATATTATTAGCTTTCAGGGACAGCCTATTGAACGCGTTGCGTCTCTTAAATTTCTCGGTGTCTTTTTTCACGAATATTTAGATTGGTCTGTGCATATAAATTACTTGCGAAAAAACATCTCTCGAGCAGTTGGCATACTATGCACGTTGCGCAGCCTATTACCAGTATGGTTAAAAAGACAGATTTATTACGCAACCATACATTCGCACCTTCACTATTGTCTTCTGATTTGGGGAACGACGACAAAAACTAACCTCAAAAATTTATATCTATTACAAAAACGAGCTGTGCGATTAATTGAACTTCTACCTTTTCGTTCGCACACAGCCCCTTTTTTCGAAAAACATAGACTGCTAGTCATTAATAATATCCGATATAAAAAATTAGCAATGATTATATATCGTGAAGTTAAATCTAATCGAATTGAATTTTTCAGGAAGTATCACGAGCGTAACCACAGTCATAATTTACGACATATTAGTTTCAAGAAAGACACGCTTCGTACAAATTACGGTACACAAAAACTAACTTACCAAATTCCCACTTTCTTAATGAACACCCCACTGTGATGGCATTAATTGAACAAAGTTCCTCCATTTATGTTTTCAAAAAGAAGATACACACATTCCTTCTAAAAACTCAAACAGATTCTCATACCTCTTTCGATTCATTTTATTTTATGTAACTTTTATGTGCTGCTGTGACTTTATGAATTTTTTTTTTTGCTTTTGTCTGCCTGTTTGTTGTGCGTAAATAGTCTCTTATTATTTCTTTATGTGCTAATTCATAATTGCTGTTCATTTCTTTGTTAATACTGGCTTGATGTAAAAAAAAAAATTGTAAATGTTTTTTGATATTGTATGTATCTCAATTTCTCAATTTTTGTACTGCTATATATAACCTGTTTATGTATGTGTGTACATAGGGGGTTGGCGCTTTGTCAGGCTTTCTTTGCCTTTACGCCGATCCCCTAGGCAAACTGTGTACACGGGTTGTCTGAAATTAAATCAATAAAAAAAAAAATTATTATAGTCCAGGGCTGTTTTGTGCCCGTTAATGATTCAGACCTAAGTTAAATATACCGTGAAGTAGTGAAAAAAAATAGTCATTATCAGCACTACATATATGTACCCGTTAATCCTCTCTGATCTCACGCCCCAGCTTCGTGAGTTCAGTGTACGCTTCCCCGCAAAACCACTTTCCGCTCAGTTCTACAACTATACAAGCTCATAGAAGAGCCGCTGCAGTCCACACAAGACGATGCGATTCGCTTCGACTGCCACTTCCGTGCTAATATGATCAGCGGGGCTCGATCATATTTAATGCCGCGTTGTTCTCCCCGCGACGAGTATATATCCTCACATTGAGAGCTGTCTCCGGTAACACGCCTTAGCACTCCTCTCTCTGCCTCGCTGATATGCGCCTATCGAATCGAATCAGCCACGCTGCCTGGTCTTCTCACGTGCTAGTAAAGCCACACGAAAGAAAGAAGAAAAATTTTCACTGAGGTGGTCGTTTTGTACTTAGTTAAAATAGTAATGACATATAGGGTTCAACTTCCCAAAACCACTTTGTTGTGAGAGACGCCGTAGTGGAGGACTCCGCAAATTTCGACCATGTGGGGTTAACGTGCACCTAAATCGAAGTACACGGGCCTGAAGCATTATCGCCTCCGCCGGTTTTATATGGTCGACTCAAATGAATGAATCTAACGGACTAGGACAGGAGAAGCACACAGAATTAAACGTCTTCTAACGATGGTAGCTAATTGTGACTTAAATTTAAACGAATTGAACTGGACTAAAATTGCCACCTTCCCTACGGTGTGATCTGAAATTGTCATCTCAGCGCTTCTTCTGTGATGTCCTTTTGTTTGTCGTCTTTATGCGCTGCATTTTACACCATTATCTGAAATCACACCATTCAAATAAAATGGAACCTACGAGTAGACTCGGAGGCTGCCGAATTGAGATCCCAGCGACAGAAAGGTTTTTTTTTTCATTTTCCTCAGTTTACTTCAATTTACTTCGCATTTAGCACACTATACCCGAATACAACAATTAGCTTTACATATGCTTTCCCCTTCTGAGTGTCTGTTCCAATTATTTCGTTATGTCTAGCTTATAAAACGAGCCGCTCAAAAAATTTTGTTGACTTCCGTTTGCTTTGAATTATTTCGCAATTACCACACTATAATTGAAGACAATTAGAATTACTTACGCTTTCCCTGTCCAAGTGTCTGTTCCAATCATTTGGCTACGTCTAACATATGAAACGAGGCGCTCGAAAAACTTCCATTCACTTCCGTTTATATCGTTTTACTTCGCAATGACCCCACTGTAGTTGATTACAACAATTGGCGTCTTCTATGTTTTCCCCAGTCTAAGTGTCCGTTCTATTCATTTGATTATGTGCAGCATATCAAACGAGCCGCTCGGGAAAAGTTCGATCAGTCGCTTCATCTACTTTCATTTACGTCGAAATCAGCGCAACACGTTCGAAGACAAAAATGAGCATCCTCCACGCTTTCCCCTGTCCAAGTGTCTGTTCCAATCATTTGGTTACGTCTAAGACATGAAACGAGCCGCTCGGAAAAAAAAATTCCCCTTCTTTCGTTCACACAGAAGGCGAGGTTTCAGCGAGACGTCACAAGAACACGCAGCGAGGCTGATTTGATTCGACAACCGTAGCCGAGGCGGCCACTCATGCGTCGATCCATGAACGGCCACTACCGCCGCGAGTATCGGATAACGACCTCCTTAGTTATCATAAAACATTCGAGTTTTCTTTCTTTACAGAACAGCGGGGCTCCCTTTTGGTTGAGTCTCCCAGTTACGTCGCAGATGGATGAAAATCGGTTCGGTCGTAGTAGCCGTGGCTGTTCCGCTAGCTGCCACTCGTAGCACGTCAAGAGAGGGAAAAAAAAAATGCTATGCAGAATTCACGGCGCGTAAACGAGCACAGGACAAGAGGAGGACGGAACGAGCGTTATCCACGAACGCAATGACGTAGCGCTCATTCATGGCACTTTTTCCGGTCGTGCTCTTATGTGGTTGTGTCTGCGCTGTGTGTATTCTGCTCAGCGACGACCAACGCGCGACGTCCTTATCACCCGGAATGACAGTGCACTCAACTGTCATCCTGTGACACTAGCAGTACTCGACAGACACAGAACTTGCCACAGAACTCACCTTTGTGCTTTGTTTTCTATAGGTTTATTCCGTGCCTTTTCTCCAAGTCCTCGTCGTTTTTTTTTTACTCTACCATTTTATTTTATCGTTGTCTCCTCCGCTCTTGAATTTCTCTATCTCTTGCCCTTTTCCAAAGAGAGAAAACAGTGAAAGAGATAACAGATTGATAGGTAGATATGCGGAATTTAACGCCCCAAAACAACCATATGATTACCAGAAACGACGTAGTAAAGGGCTCCGGAAATTTCGACCACCTGGGTTTCTTTAACGTGCACCCGAATTCATGCGCACGGGACTACAGTATTTTCGCATCCATCGAAAATGCAGTCGCCACAGCCGGGATCTGATCCCGCGACCTGCGGGTCAGCAGCCGAGTACCTTAGCCCCTATAGACCACCGCGGTGGGGCTAGGAGATAAAAGAGGAAGTGGACATTTTGCTCATCCAAGTGGCAGTCGTCCTCCGGCCTCTTTACTCATTGTCCTTGTGTACATTGGCATCTTATGATGAAGATAATCATTTCGCTGAACGAGGCGCGATTGCATTGTTAGTCAACGCGTCAGAAATATTTCTGGCTGAATAAACTAAAGATTTAAAAACAAAGCAGCCACATCCTCTTTTCGCCGTAGCATGCCTTGAGTGCGTATTGATAGTGGAGAGAGTGACCTACTTCGCGAAGTATTTGTTCTTTGCTTGAACTTCAAGTCTATTTTATTTATTGATTTTCGTACCCGTATTCACAAGGACACAGAGGAAAGAGGGAGATAGCAGGCTGGTAACTGCCACCCGGAGGGGCAGAACTCCTGCTTATAACTCTTTCGGGAGCAGGGAAGCGGGAAAGACAGACGAATAATAACGAGCCAGCATAACATCAGTAATGTTACGTGCTGGCGCTTCATGAAGCTGCATGGCTCGGAGGGCTTCCAGCCATCGGCGATTCTGTTGATTAGGTCGATCTTAAATAGAAACACAGAAGCCTGTCGCGGTGCGCTCTAAGCCGCGCGAAAAACTGCACCAAATATGAATGGTATTTAACAACTTAGGTGCAGAAATGTACTACGCCTACATTGCGGCAGGCGTATGCAAAATAGCCTAAAGTGCGTCGAGGAGGCCACGCTCGTCCGATATGGGCGGATCTTTTCATTCGCCCCCGCGCCGCGAGCACCGCTACCAGTCGTGAATAAATAAACATTGCTTCGCTGGCCTACGGTGACGTGTTTCAAACGCCGTCTCTCTAAATGCGTGCAGTGTTACGAAAACGCAAATTCCAGCGAGTCAATGCGGGAAGGACCACTACGATCTTCTACATGATGAAGAACAGTTGCTGCATCTCCACACGATGCAACGCGTCACGCTGCTGTCGAGTAGACGAAGCCAAGTGGGGAATGACTACAGATGGCTTGGTATTAGAGCAATTGAATTAACGTTTCCGAGAGTCCACCATCGCTGCTTCGTGATGCCGTAACAGAAAACGCAGACAGTGAGCCACTTTTAGCATCTCTCTCTTCCATTTCCACTAACAATGTCGTGTCCGTCCATCCGTTCGTCCATCTGTCTGTCTGTCTAAAGTTCAAACGAAGTTCTGCAATGGGCAGGCACACTAAGCAAAAGGCATATTTATTGAGGTGAAATTCATGCATTGATGCTAATATCCGTGCAATGATGCGCTGCATACCTGTCACCGCCAGAACAAAAAAAAAAAAAAGGAGAAGAAAAATTCCGTGGGCACATTTTTCGGACCACATGTGCTTTTACTCTTACGCCCACGCGCATACATTGCCTGCAGACGAATTCCGAGTAAATCAGCTTAAGCAACGCCGATGAATATTAAAAGTCTCGAGTTTCGACGTGTTATTGAAAGTTTTTGCCATCGAGTTTCTCTTAGCTCCCTGCTGCCGCCATATCTCTTTCGCGGGGCCCGATCTCCTTGGCTCCTTCATTTATTTATTCAAGTCTGAGTTCTGCGCATGAGTCGTTCTCGCTGGCTTCTTTTGTTTTCGTTCCGCATCAGCCTTCGCGATTATTCAAGCAGCAGCAGCAGCAGTAGCAGCAGACGACGTCCTGTGTAAACAGTGGCGACGGCGCGAATCGTCGAATCCGCAGGCGGCGCCGGCAGCGGCGTGATAATGCGCGTCGCCATCTGACGTGCGGTTTATTGCGAAAACGAATTCTCGCCGTCTAGCGCACTCATTCCAGACAGGTTTAGCTTCGCGATAGTTTTTTTTTTTTATTCTTTTCCGTTACGTTCGTATCAAACGTCGGGTAGCTTATTGTTCGCGTTCGGAATTTCGGGTTTTAGTTTTAGTTTCTATACCTTGAAGGGTGCGGTATCGAACGCCGGCCGGAATCGAAAGGAAAGGAAAAGAGAATGCCACGTGTACTTGATTGATATGTGGCATTTGACGTCGTAAATCTGCACATGATTCAGAGACGCTGTAGTGGAGCGTTCCACCTGGGGTTCTTTAACGTACCCAGTGTACATAGGTTTAGGTTCACGTTCACCATAGCTAGTCAATATCGATGTCGCTGCAAATCTGGCTGCTAAAGGCAATAATGGCTCTCCCCATCGCCCTCCCACGCGCAGGGTAGCAAACCGGCTGCCTATAGGCTGGTTAACCTCTCTGCCGTTCTTTTCCTCCTATTTCCTTTCCTTCCTTTCTCCTGAAGTGAATTTTGCCTTGGTTTTGATATGACAGGAACGGTATAGATGTTGAAGAAGAAAGTACACCCGCCTCCACGTCTGTGTATAGGATGCGCGAGCAGCTGGCTTGGCTCTGCGGAGAACACCTTGCGGCAGTTGCAGGTACTGATGTGCACGGTGAGCCGAGGAGCACGTGCGGCCTAATAGACAGGCTGACCTGCTTTGAATGTGCGACAATGCTGAAAGGTGTGTTTGCAATGTTCTACAGACGCCCACAGGCAGGTTACGCAGGCACCGAAGGTTCCACAGCAGTCCATACGTTCAAAAAATGGCTACTGATTTTTCGTATAAATAAAAAGCTGCCATAAATTTTTTGCTGTTTGCACCTACATATTATTATCGGGGGGAAAAGCTTCCCTTGTAAAACATTGTGATTGCTTCGACTTTGAATAAAACTCGGTTTTTCACTTATTAATAGTGTTTGTTCCCTCCGTGCATAGTCGCGCTTCAATCGCAGCTCCCAGCCCCGCCTTGGTGCTCTAGTTGCTAAGGTGCTCGGCTGCTGACCCTCAGGTCGCGGGATTGAATCTCAGCTGCGGAGGCCGTATTTTCGATGGAGGCGAAAGCGATGTAGGCCCATGTGCTCAGATTTGGTGCACGTCAAAGAACCCCAGGTCTGTTTTACTGTTTTACTACAACCCCAGGTGGTCAAAACATCCGGAAACCTCCACTATACGGCGTCTCTCACAATCATGTGGTGGTTTTGGGACGTTAAACTCCACATATCAATCAGTGAATCGCAGCTATCATAACTCTCTATGCTGATGTCGTGGGCAATAGCTTCTGAACTGCTATTCACTCAAAATTTCGCGACCTATGTGAATAGACCTTGGTGCTTGTTTAACCGAAGATACCCACTGCCTCGAATTGGCCGCGATTTCGATGGAGGCAAAAATGGTGGAAGCCCGTGTAGTGTGCGATATCAGTGCGCGTCAAAGAACTCCAGGTGGTCGAAATTTTGGGAACCCTCCACCGCGGCGTCCCTCCTAATTGTAATGCGGTTTGTGGGACGTTATATTTCATATATATGATATCTCGATGCCAAAGGATGAATAGTTTGGAATGATAATGACGCGTTTTAACCGGTAACAAGTGCCAGGCGCGTGTCATCATACGACGCACATCATCTTTTAGAATGGCGTGCCGCTACCACCCCGAGGGAGCGTGCGTGTTTGGTTAAACAAGTGCACCTTTCAAGAGAAAGATAAAAGAAAGACAGGGAGGTTAACCAAAAGAAGACTCCGGTTTGCTACTCTGTACTTGGGAAGGGAAAAGAAGGGGTGTAAAAGAATAATGACGATGATGATGAGAAGAAGAAGAAGTAGAAGAAAAAAAAGAAGAAAAACAAAAAAGAAGAAGAAAGAAAAAAAGAAGAGAAAAGAAAAAAAAGAATAAAAAAGTATCAGAAAAAAAGAAAAAAAAGAAGAAGAAAAAGGAAAAGAAAAAGAAAAAAGAAGAAGAAGAAGTTGGTAATAGCTGAAAAAAATAGTGACTGGCGCACTATCCGAGCAATAATGTAGCAACACTGTCCGCGAAGAGTCACAGTTTGTCTCTCAGTCCGCTTGCTTGCAGGAACCGCAACAACGCCTTCAGAACGGCTCCCGATCACGGTCGGGTCTGCATCACGTATACCTTTCAACACTATCACCCGTGCAAAGCAGGTCGGCATGTATATTTGGCCGCGCATGCTCCTGGGCAGACCACTCCAGATCCCGCCGCAACTGCCGCAACGATGTTTTCTCCGCAGAGCAAGACCGGCTGCTCACGTACTCTACGCAAACGTGGATGCGGCTGTACGTGCATTAGCTAGCCCTAAATTCCCGCGTTTCAATCCACGGGTGTTACGCTTCACTCACACGTTTACGAGTAGCATTCGTCGTGAAACATATACCGAGCGTCGTAAAATCGACCTCTGCAAGAGATATTTGACGACGATGCGTAGCCAAGCAAGTCTACTGGGTGATGCTTCAGGGACTGGGCTATAAATGGCGTAAGAACGCAAGCTGCGGCTTAACTATATACCCGCAGCATAGCATACATTCATAGCCTTTTTTCAGAGCTGTACAAAGGTTGCCATTTGGTCTGGGTGCTGCATTTCATTCGTTTTCGTAACGCCGAGTATACGAGACATGCATGGACACAATCAAACGATGAAACACAGAAGGCGCGAACTTTCGACAGTTTGTTTCGGAGTAGTGTGACTGTTTTATGACTCTTCCGCACACAAATGTGCATGTGCTCAGGAAATTTCGCACACGAGTGTGCAACTGTTAAAAAAATATATTTCGCTGAAAATGCAGCTGAAGCCTCATTGGTGCACATGTCTTAAGTTTTATATATGTTTGCGTTCCCAATACATATAGTTTGCCTTCTAATGCGCATTATGTCTTTTACTCTATACATTAGCTTTTATGACGACA